GGAAAGATAAAGATTTTTCAAAAAATTGTTTTACTCATGGAAATCTATTCCTTCCCTAAAAGAATTGATTCTCTCGGAAAACCATACATTCCAAATTTGATTATTGTGCCTGTAACTCAAATTTACTTCGAGTGAATTGATTCTCATTGATTTCACTCCAAGGAATCATTTCTTTCTACCTGGAACGAGAATTTTGACTTAAAACACTTCATTTTACTTTAGGATTATTTATAAGCTTTTTTCAGGTTACCCTAATGAGTTTAGATTAAGATAGGATTAAGTAGTCTTACAAAACAAATAACTTGAACAATTTAATTAAAAATAAATTTTTTTGATCCATGACAAGTCTTCATTACACCTTTCTTGATGTTCTGATTTTTAGAATCGTCCTTCATAGGTTATGTTTATCAAATGTTTTTCAAAAGTTACTTGTAGCTTTTGCAGGCATGGCAATTAAATTTGGATTCATGAGTATCTTTGATTTTGACCTGATTTGTTGAGAAAAAATATTCGTTGACTGTGTTTTGATTTAGGTTCCTTTTAACTTGTAGAAACAATGTTGGCTTTGAGTTTTGGGATCGAACATTCTATACTATCCTACAAAGTAAGTGTGTACATGCACCTAGAGATCAAACTACATCATTTATAACTCCATGAGATTTGGTCGAGTCGAAAAAGATAGGGCCTCTCATATGATAGTGGGAAGAGATAGAGTTCAAACCCTTACTCTTCTCTTTAAGCGTGGAAACTATCCTTACTTTAGATTGGGGTGTTATCCCCTCTCCCTAAATTTCTCTCTAAAAAAATTTGAAATAAATTATTATATTTATCATCAATAACTTTTTATTGTATTATTCTATCTTAAAATTTATTGGTGTTTGATTTTTTTTAATCACAAATCGGGTCAATTTTTTTTATATTAATATAAATTATTTAATACTCCATTATATACATCAAAAATGAAAATTGATGTCAAATATACTTTTAAGTAAGAACTCTGATTATATAATTATAACTAAATGATTTGATTGACAAAAATCACATTTTATAGTTATTGCCAGTATAATAGTTGTATAATTTATAATGCCTTAATTTGTTTCCTTTTATATATAGACACATTACAATTAATATTTTATTCTCATAATCAATTTTTATAATTACTGAAAATATTAATATTATAATAACAATTCTAATTATTATAATATCGGGAGAGGTAAAAGACAAAGGCATATCTGTAGAAGGTTTTTTTATTTATTTATTTTTTTTTTTTTTTTTTTTTATATATATATCAATGTGCAAAGAAGTGTTCCTATTTATAGTGCAGAACATGAGACAATTTAATAAGGGAAACTTGGAAAAAAAAATCCTATAAAATAATATCAGGACTAATTCGAATTACAGTGTCAAATAAAGATGCACAATCATATTTTCAATATTATAACACAAATATTGTTCATTTCCCAGATTTCTTTTCCTGAAAGCCTAAAAATATTTTCATTTTCTGGATTTCATTTTTGGAGAGTCCAAAATATGTATAATGTGTTGTCGGATTTTCTTGTCGTGTCTGTTCATTTTCACTTTGGTGATCATTATTCTGTTTTCAAACTTTCTAATGTCTTGAGCCTCTAGGCTAATAGGTAAAGATCAACCAATAGATACTCTGGGAGGCATGCAACCTAGTTCTTGAACCATTATAGCTCGAGTACTGTATGTTTGAGTACACAAGTTATGGAACTTAGAAAAAAAGAAAAGAAAGTGAGGACGATGTACACCTGAAGAACAAGGAAGTGGGGTAAAAAGACATTGAGCAACTCCCTCCATACAAATCATGAACATTGTTTACGCTAAGATGTAAATTGATTAAAAAAAAAGCTTCAAATTTGGGAAAGAGACAAAACTGCAATTTAAAGAGGAACAATTGTGATTATATACAACAGCTACCAGGTCTCAACACTGCATGGCATCACGTAGGTTCAGCATACAAAACATGCTGCAAACACCACGATCCCTACACATAATAAAATTTGTTAGATCATAGAGCTGATAGTTCTGAAGGAGTCAAGGGAACTAGGAAATGATATTCTCATTATCTCTCTCCTTGTGCTGCTCATGATCTTCAAACAAGTCCTCTGGAGGGTCGTAGATTATCATATCTGGGAAAATCTCTAAGAAGTCATCTTTTACTTTCTCTCTTAATTCTGGATATGGAATGAGCCCTTTTAATATCACTCGAAAAGGCAATGAAAGAGGAGGCTCAGGAGATTGTCTCATTTCTTCATATATGTTCATTGCCTCTGTGGGCAATCCACTGTCCAGAAAAACTCTAATAATATCTCCAAATGTATGCTGATCGAATAAAACTTCCTCTGCTTTCAAATCATCCCAAACCCTCTTAGATTCTTCCACCCTTCTGTTTCGTGCAAGCATCATAAGCATGTCTCTATAAAAAAACATGTCTGGCCTGTACCATATTTCTTTCCGGACTATATCATACAACTGAGAAAGAAATGAAGGATTGATTAATATATAACCAATGCATATCAAAATATGAGATCAAATAGTAATTAAAACACCAAGAATTATGATAAAACTTAGGTACTGACTCTGTTGTTGTTGTTCTCTAATTAAAAGTGAAGTTTCACCTTACATATTATTGATTTCTATATTAAATGTAAATGCATATCATCGAAGTGAAACTCTAACTTTGAATGGAAAACAATACCAACGAGACTTGTCGTATGTACCTAAGTTTTATTCTTTTTTATTGTTTATTTTTTTTCTGGTTCAATTTTTTATCCAGTCATAAAAGTAGCATAAAAACGTGAAACAAAGCAATTCAAGAGAAGTAGATAAATTGCTCAAGATTTTTCTTTACAAACCCAAAAATAACTAGGGAAAATTAGTTGGACAGTTGATCTTCATAATTTCAAGTTTCAATTATGAAAGCTTTTCCTTCTTGGCAGGGTCGATTATCCAACCCAATGCTTAAGAGTTTACATCTCGGATGTTTGATAGTCTGTCTTCTTGTCATACTTGTGTGTGCAGGCAAACCCATGCAGACTTCATAAACTTTAATTCTAAACTTGATTCTTAGCAAGAGATATATACTTCAATAACATCATTTATCATATATTACATAATTTAGTAGCATCTCTATAAAAAACATTCAACATACTAACTTCATAACAAAGCAACTAGAAGTTATAAAATATAAATATATATTACATTATACATCACTTGCTTGATCCAACAATTATATTATACACAAAATAATGATTAAAACATAAAATTAACTTTATAAACCTAATATATATTACAGAATATTAGCTGGGCATGTGAGCCAAGAACTTCTTATAATGCTTAGTTTTGTAAACTTTCACACTCTAGATATCCAATCTTAGTCATGAGAAGGGTCTGCTGAGATCCTAAATCTTCTAGGTATATGGCTAAGTATTCCTTATATAACTTGGGAATTCTTCTCCTCCGGGTCGAGTTAGACCTAGTCCATTCCCCATTCTGATGTAGACAGGCTATTTGACCCAAGAATCTATCATCTTACTAAGACTGTAGATTTTTGTGGTAAAACCATAGAGAAATCTAACCTCATAAGCTAACAGAACAGAAGGTTTATAAATTTTTTCAAAGTTTACCAAAAAGGCTAAATCAGAGTTCACACATGATTTAACTATTTTTTAAGAGCTAGAATCATAAACTTGTAATTGTAATAGTTTAAGACTTTTGCGCTAACTCGGGTGGTTGGCAATGATGGTCTCATATTTCTACTCATGTTCCACCTCCATCATTTAATCAGATCCTTCTATCTTTTGAATTTACTCATGTGTGCAATCTTTTTATTTTCTAGTTGACTAATGGACCATGAGTCAAGATGAGTGTTTGCCAAAAAAATGAATCCATCAGGTTCCATGGCTAGCTTGAAAGCTTGATTGGTAATTAAAGGGCATACTCATCTTAATAGGTTGACCACTCTAAGACTTTCTCTCTGGTAGCTATCCTCATATTAGTTTTCCTTTTTTGTTTCTGCTGTGGCCACTAATTGTTAGCTCCTTCATTACTTTGATGAAAAGAATGCCTTCGTTCATTGCTCCTTCATTACCATGTTGCGCATAAGAACTTGAGATTTGCAAACTTCACAAATTTCTATAAGGGTTGAAACGGTTGCCAAAGCACGGTTTAATTGGTTCAGTAAAAATGTAGTGACTAAATTTGATCCAAAGAGGAATGCATGTGAGAATCATAGTTTGGGTAATCAATTGACACTCATAATTTTTTCTGCGCTGTTAGTTAAAACAAAGGACTCCTGACAGCTAAAACACTTTCTTGGGATTGCAGTGTCCAGACTTTAAAGGGGCATTTTCCATTCCCAAAGGAGGTATGTGCTATATTTGTTGAAATATAATGGACCATTGAAAGTAAGTAGTGACAATCTCATGATAACAAAAGTGAAAACTGAAAATGAATAATAACAAAGTGTTGGAAGACCCAAAGGGATAAAGGAGAGTTGTATGAAAATTCAGCTATCTTATTGTGATGTGACCAGATATTACCTTCTTAGTGAACTTAGTTGGTCAGTCCATGTCATCACCTAGCCAGAACTACGCAATGGGATGTAGTTGTTCCCATTCTAAAGCATCTTAAAGGAGAACTAGGTCATGGGGATGTTTATGCGAAGTTGATGGATTTTCTAACGCAGATTGAGCCAGAACTTTATTACACAAGAAGCCCACAACCTCGTATTATCTTTTTTAGGGGTAATCTTGTAGCTCTGAATCTTAAATTATATGAAAACTTATAAGGATATCTCATTTGTCAAAAGAACTGGTGATCTCTTATTATATAGAGATTTAATACCTAATTGGTTTTCTAGAAGTACTTTTAGGAGAGAAAAATAAGGAGGAAAATCAAAATAAGTTTCTCCATAAACTAAAATTAGCTAATGCATGAATTAAAAATAAAATTTTGGAGAAACTAATATGAGAGAGCTTCTACATAAGCTAAAATTATCTTGTGGAAAAGCTTATTTCATTTTTCCTTCCTATTTTAACTCTCCTAGAAGTGCTTATGAAGAAGTTTACTCACACAGGCTCTTAGTGTATAAAAAAAGAGCCATACGTGGCTAATAATCCTGTATATTATCCTATGAAGATTTAGTGTAACAAACAAACAGCCATACACAGCCAATAGTCTGACATTCCATTTAAGAACTAACCACAGAAGTGAATCACGATTTCATTTGGGAAAATCCTTTAAAAAGGGATAATTTTGTTAGAACATGTTAAAGAGCTAGAGACCCATTAGCTGGTATGTTCACTAAAGCCTTGGTAGGCATATGTAACAAATAGGAATATTAGCATGTGCTAATGGTGTAAGGATACTTTAGCCTTTCATTATTCCCTGTCAATGTGTGTAACACTATTATGTTATGGCCAATCAATCATTTCTTAGTTATTTCCTCATAACACACTATTAGAGCAGGTAATAACATTTTGTGTTGGGGAGTTTTACACCAAAAAACACTCTACACAATTAGTGAGTAACCCACAATGAGTAATGAGTAAATCACTTAATTGAACTTCAAATTACAACATAGCTTAAAACCTTAAGGTATTAGGTATGGATCTTTTCACTTATGTACTACTTATCAAGTCCAACTCTAACATATATAACACTCACTTGACACTTGAACTTCAACAGTTTCAAAGCAAGAAAATTGCATATAGTTGCTGAAATTGAACGATAGGTTTAAATAATGGGATGTGGTATTAGGTGTTTGAATGAATGAAAAGAAAAGAAAAGAAAAGAAAGATTGAGATGGAAAAAGGAACCTTGATGCAGAGGAAGACTTGGTTCTGTCTCTGGAACTCTGCGAGGACGGCGACGAGGTCGGACTTGAGCAAGCGGGAGACGCTGGACCGGATGTAGCGGTCGAGGCGGACCGGGTCGGACCGGAGCCTCTTGAGCTCTTTGGCCACTACCAGCCCTTCCTTACCCATCTCCTTCTTCCGCCGCCATATGGAAAGGCTTGGGCTCGAGGGCCCACCCGAAACCCACCGGGCCCAGTTACGGGACCCCGCTCGCACCGCTGCAGCAACTGCAACACGCAGCAGCATTAACAATAACACAGAAGGAAAGGAACAAACAACTGATGCTACGCTCAAATCAAAGAAAGGACCATTTCCTACACTTTTATTTAAAAATAGTTAAAATGCTTATTTATTTATTTATATATATTTTTTTCTTATTTTTTCTTATTAATTCATATACTTATATTTTTTTAAAATACTTTAGATAATTTTTTTCATTTTTATATTTTATATTTTTTATTTTTTATTACTATCTGTTAATTATTTTTTAACGTTATAAAAATATTAGTTGTCAAATCTATTTTAATTATTCTAAATTAAATTTTTGTATCTTTTATCTTTATTTGTTATATTCATTATTGAGATACTTTTTTATATTTATAAAATTAAAGATCTCTATTATGTCAATACAAAGTAAAAAATGTTAAAAAAAAATTAATAATAAAAATTTAAAATTTAAAAAAAAATTATAAATATAAAAAATAAAATTAATTTTAAATAATAAAAATTAAAAAGGATTGAAAAAGATAAATATATAAACTAAAAATTATATTTTGAATTATAAAGATTTAGAGATATATAAAATTGTATGTATTAAAAAAAATATTTTAATCATTAAAAATTAAAAAAAAAAATAAGAGAGGATTGTCATTGTAATTTGGAAATGTAAATCTGTTTAGGCTTAATTTTTTTTTAATCAATATTCTTTTGCTTAACTTTTGATTTTTATAAAATGTTTATTTTTAATTTTTAATATCTGTCGTAATAATTTTTATTATTTTAAATAACGTGTCAAATATGAAATATTATATTATTTAAATTTACTTGGAAACAATGTTTATTTTTATGCCACATCACCAAAAACAATAAAAATAGTCATGAGAGAAAACTAAAAAAATAAACAAAAAATTTTCAAGAACTAAAATAAAAAAGGTTTATTTCGAAGACAAAAGATATTTAAAGCATCTATCTATTTTTTATGAAAAATGAAAATATAATATTTGGGTCTTTTAAGAAAATTACGTGTAAATTATACAAGTTAGTCCCATTCAATGAATGTCTATTTTTTTAAGTCATTTCATATTCATAAAGAATAAAGAAATATTATTACAAACACGGTGCTCGTCTTTTTTAGTTTCTACTTTTCATCCGTCGGTCCTTGGAAATGTATTGATACTACTATTAATCAGTTTTTATTTTTTTTTTTCAAAATCGATATAGTCTCTGTATAATATTTATATATATATATATATATATATATAAATAGGAAAAAGAAAATAAGATTATGTAGCAATTTTCATATTTAATCTTTCAGTGGTTCTATTTTATAATATTTTATACAGTGACACTTCACACATTTTTTCGTTGATTAGAATCTTTCATGGATAAGAATTCTTCATAGGTAATCTTTTTTAAGATGTCTGACTATCTCTAAGATCAATGATTATCCTTATTAACTAAGATTTTTCAAGGTGTTTTGTCCTCCCTTGTACCTTTCTATAAAATTTTTCAGAAGATCACTCATTCCTAAATTACTCTAAGTCAATGCTTAATTATGGAGTTTTTATGTAATGAGCTACTAATAAGTAGAATTTTCTTATTGGTATAAATAGTACAAATTAATTCTTTTAAATCATCTTAAATTGCATAGTCTCATATCTATACAAATCTCTGAATCTGTTTTGTACTATCTGTACTGCGAAGCCGAGCTCCGAGCCCGACACCACAGCGCAGGACGACCTCGGATACGCGCTGTGTGACGTCAGCT